AACAAAAAATATTTTTTAAATAGGTTCTATCTTTCATGACTTTACACATGCCCATATAAAACTGGTTTATGTTATGCGCGAGGAAATTTGGCCTCGCTATCTAAGCATCGTGAAACAGATTCTACCGCTAATATTCAAACAATAGACCAGTGTCTTTTTAATCCAGAACTTATGATGTAATCCATTTCAGAATATCTCAGTCGAGTTTGCTATAAGTGGCAGCAACATAAGATATATTACATCTTTGTATACGGCGCTTCTTTTAATAGTAAACATTTATGAATTTTTCAGTCTGCGATGCGATATACTCATGATCATCCAATTTATATACAGTAATTTTTTACAGACAACTACATATTAAATATTTGTGTTGGAGAAAGTTTCAACTCGTATTCATACAATACCCGTTACAAAAAATAACGCCTATTTGGAATACGTCACATCGGCTGATTGTTCCAATGACATTTCATGTAACCAATACAAACATGTATGGTGCGATGTCAAGTATTTGTGATAAAACAATAACTTATTAATTAACAAAATCGTATATCACGTTCCCGTGCCGCAATGACGTAGTGTTATCATTGCGTGAATCCGATTCAAATTCGTCCACGCCAACTATATTTATGTCACCATGTAAGTATTCTAAACCTGTTTTTGAAATTTCGTTTCATCAGACGCGCGTAATATTGCAGTTTTTGCGTCTTTTATTCTGTTTCTGGTCGAAGTGTTTTTCCATGAAACGAACAACGATTTCTTATATATTATTAAATTTCATTTCTTCGAAGCACAAAATATGACATGATTATAAGAAGTTAAAAACCCCGGACAAAAAGAACTAATAGACAATTAATATATACTCTATATCCGGGATTTCATGATGGCCAATATGATTACATACAGATTTCAAAATGTTTAGAAAACTAGAAAGAAGAAAGGACGCATAAAACTGTATAATTATTTTTTATTATCTATATTTATTATTTCAAAACTTTATAAATGGGCATTCTTTTGTCAATCCCTAGTATGCAGCAAGATCGAGCAAACGAAACTTTATACAATATTGGTTGAGCTAAAAATTACTGAGAAACTTGAACTCTTTCGAAAATGATTGGAGCATATTAATTAAAACTAGTCAATGTCAGATTGCAAATGTGTGGCATTTACATAGTTGTTTCCGCTTTAACTGAGAATAGTAGTTGATAGTGAACAGTTTATTTTGTGTTATTCACATATAAACCTAATCATTGTAATCGTTAATGTTAAAATCCTATATACGCCTGTGGAGAAAGTTTCTAAACGGGTAATTCGCAGGAAATTTTTAAATATATTGACAAATGTCGCGTGGTCACTAGTACTGAATATTAAAATACATTCTCTAAAGGTCAAATTAAAAATGAAATGCTATAGACAACGAAATCACAAATACCATAAGGTGTTAATAAATAAAATCTGATGAGAGGCATGAAACGATTTCTCATTCGGTTCCAATACATAAAATTAACATTGTCGAAAGGGCATATTGCCGTTGCCGTAATGGCGCGACCGGCCTACCAAAGACAGGCACGGGGATCATGTAGGTGTAAACCATAGGCATAGAGTAACAGATACGAAATCTGTGAACCCGCCCTAATTTTTAAATGAGTCATTTATGTTTGAAAAGTATAAATAAAAATAAGTGAAAACGATCTAAATATTTAATATAAATATAAAAAAAAAATAAATAGTAATTTTCAATGGCGATCATGAACGACAATGATATATTTATGACTTTTTTTCATGTTTATATTTCATATTTATATAGTTCAAACAAACAGTGCATACCTTGTGCAGAGTAGAAAAATGATATATTGTCTTGTTAACGGCCTCGTCTATATCAACAGCTTAATTGGATGTTGCCATAAAAGAAGCTGCGGTCAGAATTTTTTCATTTGGATTTAATTTGGCGAGAGACGTAAACCATTTGAAACGGGACAAGTTGACCACGTGTCCAGTCAGGGAAATGAAACAATGACCTGATAATTATAATGACTTGTCCGTGACAGATTAGCTGGAGATATGCTTAGGAAACTCGAACCCTGATGAAGTAAAAAAAAAAAATAAATGAATATTTATTATATTTTTAAAAGAGATAGAAACATCGAAACAGACTGTTTTTTTGTTTCGTTTGAATATATATATTAATCAACAACTTAGTTTTACCTATTCTTAGAATTGAAACTTTCGCAAATGAAGCATAGTGACATAGTCACGGTATTGTAAATTCGCGGTTGCGCGAAAGCCACACGACAACTTTGTCAAGTGTTTAGTTACATATTCTTAAAGCGACATTAGCGTATATGGTATGTAGCAATAGGTATTTGTTGTTCATATATATTATCACATAAAAAATGACGGGTTTTGTTCCACGATTCCGACCGAGTGCATTTGGAAGGATTAAGTTGAGATGTCGATTCCAATTTAGAGGGCAAAGGTATGGTGGGAAGTCAAAGCGTGATCTACAGAATGCAAAAATGTCGTGCGTTTTTAATTTAACTTTTCTTACCATATGTCATTAATCGTTAAATTGAGTGTCAATTACAGATTATTTTTTTTAAAAAGATATTAAATTTATACATTTTGTTTGCAGTTATAGCCATAAACTACTAATTATGACATCTATTGCGAGGAGTATCTTCTTGTTTGTTTTCATTGTTGTAGTAGCTGTACAGACGGTTCGAGGTAAGTTAAAAATTGACATGAACTAACACCAAATAAAAGCAAAACACGATCATATTGCACCAGTGTTTCGAGTATTCAATCAGTATCAAAACTAGTTATTATGGATCATAATCATTTTAAAACAATATAATTAGGTTTTATAATTTTTTCGGAGGACAATATTTAGATCTACCAGGCGGCCGTGCATACTGCATTATCCTCAGATCGATAATTTCTAAATACCGGGAATTCTAGAAAACTTTATTCCGTGCAATAATCTGCCAATATGTAATCGCGAATTTCACTTCCTGTTCATCATGAAACACGTAAGTGGAATAACCCAGCATAGTCAATTATTGAAGTAATATAACAAAAATCATTAAACAAGACAATACAATAGTGAAAATAAGCAAATCGTTAAAATTACATGCTTGTTGGATCATGACATGAAATTTTAAAATGTTCCGGAGTAACACGTTGAATGAATACTTGGGGCGCATAAATAAAACAACTGTGTGATAAATACGGGAATCAACGCACACTTGATGTCATGTTCTGACTTTGACTTTCAATTCGCATGAAAAAATGCCAAAACCATCAAGTTTGGTTAATTTAATGTGTGTTTGAACGCCGATAAAAAAACGAAAACGTGAAAATGAAATGTTCGTTTTCCAAAGTGAAACCTAGACAAGAGTAAAATGCATAAATGGTGGTTTCGCCATAATCACATTTGCAAATATTGCTTTCGAGTATTCTTTTTGAAAAAATTTATTTGCGATATTTTGCCAATATTTAATATTCTTTTTTAATATGTTTGCTAATAGTGTGAAGTGATATTACTGAATAGACATTAGTAAAACCAATACGTTCCACTCATGTTAAGTCAATCTCGTGTTCAGTAGCGCAGTCAGAGAGGGGTTTTCGCTTCCCCTTTTTAAATTTTTTTGAAAACTGAAAAAGTCGCGGATAACGCGTGCAATTGCGTTCTGCTAAAATTGCCGATTGTTTCATCAGCGTGTTATTTAGGCCGTAAACGCCTTTACATTGGTGTTTATTCTCTCTAAATCACAAATTTGTGCCGAGGTAACAATGGTAACAATTTTATTTTTGTACTCGCACGGAATTGTGAAAGCTGAAAAAGTCGCCAATAACGCGTGCAATTGCCTTCTGCTAGATTCAGCGATTGTTTTCATCGGCGTGTTATTTAGGTCGTAAACGCCTTTACATTGGTGTTTATTCTTTCTAAATCACAAATTTGTGCCGCGGTAACAATGGTAACTATTTTATTTTTGTACTGGCACGGAATTGGGAAAACTGAAAAAGTAGCCAATAACGCGTGCAATTGCCTCGTGCTAAAATCGCCGATTGTTTTCATCAGCGTGTTATTTAGGCCGTAAACGCCTTTACATTGGTGTTCATTCTCTCTAAATCAAAAATTGGTGCCACGATAAACATGATAATTATTTTATTTTTTGTACTTGCACGGAATTGTGAATTCGGTTATGAGTTATACGAATGCAGGAGTAATCAGCGATCTAAATTTTTGATTGAAAAGCGGCAATATAAAATACTGAAAATAAAACCGCATATAACAATATAATTTGTGTTGAGTGCCGCGACAGTCTTAAAATCGCGTTTCTAGGCATTGAAAATTGTAAAAATTACGTTTTGGTCGCCGTTTAGAAAACATACCTTCACTAAAAATGGAAACACGGTTAAATTGTGGGCGGGGTTTAACTTTTTATCCATTACTTCAAAATTGTCGTCGAAAATTTTTGTGTTATCATTGAACAAGGTTGGAAAGGCGATTTTTTTCTCGATTTGGGATGATATATAAGATAATTAATCTGAAGTAAAACGATCAATTTTTATTGTACTGAAATAAATTTTACTCCATGAGAATTTACAGCAGATTTACGGATTTTTCGAAAGGTTTTATTTTCAAAAATAATCGGAGTGGCAGCATTGCGATTGAACGCAGCCAGTGTTACAAGTACATCTCAAATTTGTCGAATTCGCAAAATAAAAAATACGTATCAAAACAATATATAATCGGGCAGTTCACCACACATTTTTATTTTCATGTCCGCGGATTGCCGTGTTATTTTAGAGTGGCTCTTGTTTTGTCGACCCCAAGGTTAAATTGAAGACAGGTAAATTAATAAAGCGAGACATTCTAAATATGCCCGTATTGGTCATGGATGGATTAATTTGCAGGTGTTCTTATATCAGATATCGAGGTTTTACTAACGGCGATACCGAGATCGCAAGATTGCAAAAATACGCATCAAAATTAAATACATCAAGCAGATTATTTCATATTTTTATGTCCAACAGATCGCCGTGGTACTTTACTGCAGTGATGTTTTTATTTTTGACGTAAGAAGTCGCAACCGCGAGTTACGTCGGACACAATTAAATTAAAAGGACATTTTAGAATCTTGTAGTTGTCATGAATTGAATATTTTACGCAACAGAAAATGCATTTCAAGCTGAGAAGGCGGCTCTATTAACGAGCGCGTGATCGTGGAAACTGTTACAGACGGCACTGAAAATTTCCGATTTTTAAAATCTTTTGAAAATCCTGGCTGCGCGCCTGCTCCGTGTTGTTAAGAGACTTCTAACAACGTATGCTTCAATTTCGACTTATGCGAACGTTTTGCTTTTCTAGGTATAAAATGTTGGGTTTGTGATGGGAAAAGGACTCTGAAAGCATGCCATGCACAATACGGAAAGATGCTTGAATGTCCAAACGCTGACGATGTAAGTTCTATTGAAAGTTACTTAAAAGATGTATTTTACTTATAGCGGTCCTGATGACAATTTCAAATGCATACTAAGAATTTTAGAAAGAAACTGTCAATGTCTTTCTTCTGTTATTTTTTCTTCGATTATGAGATATATCGTCCATTTAATCCTGACCCAAAGCAGAAATTAGAGATATAATACTATGTGATTTACACAAAAACTTGACCAACTTCCTGATCGAAATAGAATAGGTAACTGGCATACAAGACGTTTTTCATCCAATCAAAAATTATTTCTTCAAATTAATTATTTAGTCAGTCCTATTAAAATAGTATTCCCTTACTCGGCTACAATATACAAATTCTCCATATTAGGTCTTTTTAAACAGGTATGCCAAAATGACTACAGGACTGCACAAGGTAAACCTCTCATTACAAAAGGATGTAAACAAGCCAAAGCATGCGAAACGGAAGTCAAACAGGTGACTGGAAAGTTTTTGATAAAATTTAATTTTTGCTCAATCAATTATCCTGGTCAAAGACGTAATACCCTAGGTCAGTGGAAAGAAAATCAATTGAAAATTTGAGGCGAATTGTGTCGTGAACTGCTACCTTCAACAAAACATAGAATTTATTGCAGATGTTGCGGAATAAAGCTTGGATAATACCTTAATATATATATATGGGCATGTATTTATCCCTTATGTTTGTGTTATGCATATCACATTATACTATGAACGATGATACGTATTTCAAATGCGCATATCTGTAACCAAATACGTCTTACAATAACAGAAAACTGTTTCAAATAGACAGACTGGTATCCATTTCTAAAATCAATAGGTCATGTTCGTTTATAATTTGCACGAAACCCAAAGGAAAAAATTTTCTGTGCCAAAAGACGGGTGACATTTTAGTGTGACTTTGTACCTCGAACGTCGAAAGTAAATGATCTTCGTGACAGTCCTTTTTTTCTTTGATATTATGACACAACTTTTATTGATTTGTATCAATGCAACAATAGTCCAACGACTGGATTTTTACGTTATTGATATCTCCAATAATATTAACATACTATTCACATTGATTTTTCATTAGCTATTTACAAATAGTTTATGGTAACTTGGAAGTCGCATATGTTTGAGCATATTACACATATTGATAAATCAATATTGATAAAAGTCAATTTATCAACGAAAATTTACCTGGGAAAATTAACATATCATTCGTCGGAGCGATGGAAAAATCTTCCTAATCTTTATATCAATACATTATTTGGATAAAATAATAGCGCGATGCCGTCCGAATTATTACTTCATTGTATTTCTTTTTTAAAGAAAGATTTTTCCGATTTTAAATGACGGAGGTCTTTGAGCTTGATGTGAACAAAATGGTAGTGGTAATAGGTGTAAATATTTTTCCTCAAATAGTTTAAAAAAAATGCAAATCAAGCTCAGTATATATATATTTTTAATTTGTATTGACAAAATATTGTGATTGCATCAATTAATAGTAAATCGGTCTTGGAGCTGAAAACCGAGGCTCCAAACTAAACAAAGTTTCAGCTAAGCAAAATATGATTGTTGCATAATTTGCATTCCTGTTTTAAATGTATAAAGCATCCCGCGCGTAAATCATGGCTATAAAAATTATCGTGCAAACGTGTCATTATTATTGATCACAGCGGCCTACACTTCTAACTAATTTGAAACTATTACGGGCAAAAATGAAGTGAGGTCAAATAAAGTACAATATCAATTAAATTACTCAGAAATACACAATGTTAAACACACTCCAACAAACGTGAACTGAAAACCTGACATATATGCATAGAAATGAGTTTGTCGAATAAGAATCAACCAATTTTAGCTGAATTAGTAGGATGAGTGCACCTGGTTTGCGTTGACGGATTGGGATAATCCGGAACAATCCTGCCGTATAGAATTATACTTCTTTTCATAACATTGAAATTAAAAACATACTAATTCTGCGATAAATACACGTACTACATGGTCCACGAGTAAATTGCTTTCACTTATGACAATATGTAAATAAAATTTTCTTTAATTTCAGAACAAGGATAAGAATCAATGTGGAAGAAAAAGATTAATTAAAAACATGGTCTGCAGATGTTGTTGCTCATTTTCTGGCTGTAATTCTAAAGAATCTGGATGTTTGCCACGTAAATATTTCATTCAATTGACTGTACACTAAATACTCTTCGTCGAAGGTAATTCCAACTTTTTTCCAGTTGGAATACTCTGACTGGAAAATGATATGATTCACATCGTACAAAAAATCCCGCGTGATATTCTTCCAAATTAGCAATATGCCCAATTATATTATATTATTACTTGCCATTGTAGACTACCATGAAGTAGCAAATTGCAAATAAAAAACAACGCATTATATCACAGCTCCAGCACCATGCAAGAGAATACCACAATTAAAGAACGGCCAAACCAGGTGCCCAGTAGACATCGATTTCGGATCACAATGTTTCTTCAGATGTCATCAGGGCTACGAAATGAAAGGCAAAAACAAGGCAAGGTGCTTAAGATTGTCAAAGGGAAGTAAAAAAGGCCGTTGGAACCCTGAAAAGTTGCCAGTGTGTGAAAAGGTCATTGTACGCTGTGATCCGCCAAGAGTTGCCCCAACAAATGGCTTCATACAATGCAAAAACGCATTAGAATTTGCCAAAGAAAGTGACCTCAACTATGAAGGATCTAAATGCTCATATCAGTGCAAAGCGAATTACTATCTTAAAGGTAAAGCAAACTCTGTATGTGCTAACAGCGGTAGGTGGAATAACCCGGAACCTAGATGTGAGATGGGGCAGTGTGAAAACATGGAAAACGATCCAAACAGAATAGAAACTTGTACAGACAACTACAATTTCGGTAGCACGTGTACATTTAGCTGTAAGGAAGGGTTCAATTTAATAGGAAGCAAACGTTCAGAATGCCTTCAGTCGGGTCGCTCAGCTCAGGGACAATGGTCCAGAACATTTCCTCGATGTGCTGAAGTAATTTGTAATCCAGTTCTTACAAATCCCGCTTATGGTAAGGTATCCTGCACAAAAGAAAACTTCAAAGGAAGCGTGTGCACCTATACGTGCAACGAAGGTTATGATTTGGATAAAACAAACCGAACGTCTGTTAGTTCGGTTTGTGAAGATGACGGAAACGGCGATGCGTTTGGAAAGTGGAGTGCAGATGCCCCTACATGTTCGGAGATAAAATGCGAACCCGCATTCGTTGATCCGGTTGGTGGTCAAGTGGTTTGCACAAATCGCAATAGATTCGGCAGTGTTTGTACTTTTTCATGCAATTCACAAAACGACTTAGATGATACAACTCAACCAACAATGGAATCAACGTGTCAGAATGACGAAAATGGAGACAATATCGGAAAATGGTCACGTCCAGCGGCCGAATGCAGTCCTATCACGTGTCAACCAGAGTTCAAGGAGACCAGAACCCAGAAATTAAGCTGCACTAACGGCAATGCTAAAAATAGCGTATGTACTTTTATGTGCGCGGAAGATTACGACCTCGATGGAGGCATTGAAAGAACTCAAACATCCACTTGTCAACCACCAGTAGACGGAACATCGATAGGAAAATGGACGAAGAATAAACAACCGGAATGCACTTCAATAAAATGCCCCCCGCAACCTTTCCCTGATAATGGCTTTCGAATTTGCTCTACCTTCGACTTCATGCGCGGCACATTTTGTGTATTCATGTGCGAAGATGGATACGACTTAATTGGCAAATCGTACATGTCTTGCCAAGATTCTAAACAAGACGGTGATGCAATTGGTGAATGGACTGACCCGACGCCGACATGTAGACTCGGGCAATGTACTGTCACGAAATATGACAAAAGCACTGTTGTTGAAGATTGTGCGCCTCCAAAAGGATACAAGGTTTCAGAATACAGAGTAGGCACAGTGTGCACATACCGATGCATAAGTGATGCATACTACATGGTTCCCAACGTAGGCGATGAACCAGTAATGAGTGGGGAAACGATAAGTAAGTGTAATATCGAGAAAAAATGGACAAAAAAAGAACCTAGGTGTCTCAAAAAAACATGTCAACCAAAATTGTTACCACCTGACAATGGATACCTTCCACTTTGCACAAATGGAAACGACTTTGGTTCGAAATGTACATTCTCTTGTCAAGAAAAGCATGCATTGACTCAAGAACGACCTCTGGTGTGCGAAGCTGACGAAGACAATGATCAATACGGTAGGTGGAGCGAGATTATTCCGGAGTGTAAACGCAGCCATTGTGATGAGTTTGGAACAGTTTTACACGGCAAGATCAACTGTACCGATGGAACGAAAATCGGCTCTGTGTGCAATCTTAAATGTATTGATCGTTATACAGCCAAACGATACGAAGAAACTGAATGTCTCGATACAATAAACTGGAGCAGACGACAGTATTACTGCTGCGTACGATGTTTGTTTAACAGGTAGGCTAGCGCGGCTGTTACACCTTCCTCCGACCATGTATAGAAACTGTGAAACAATAATTGAAGTAACGCGCAAAGCAACGTTAAAATGTTTTCTCTAATGCATCACTTATGAAAAACTATTATTATCGTTAACACTGATTTCTAAGGTTATATGTTTATAGTATTTTTTGGTGTACTGTGTTTATTCGGATCTATTTGCGTCATGAAACGTTGCCATAATTAAGTCCTACAAGTTATATTTTTACAACGTACATTCTTTACATTTCTTTCTAGGCGCTTGAAAATCACAGCGGTATTTGATACCACCGCGTTTCAAACACGTGACGATTGGCAATACATCGTTGACTTCACGCGATCGTATCTGGCTCCGATGCTTAGATTTCGACTAGACATCGGATTTGCTGCCTTGACTTATTCTGATGATATAGATGAAGAAACATTGATACCGATGCGTCGACTTCGATATCCAAATGAATTGGACGAATTGGTGTCAGAATTAGAGAACATGCATTTTGGTGGACATGGTAATAGTTTAAAATATTATGCGCTTTCCCAACGGTAGTAGTGTGTGAATACAATTGTTTCTGATCAACTTTGCATACAATATTCGAACTATCAACTACGGGTAAAATTCGAATAGCCAAATATGAGTGTAACGCAATACCGAATTCCAAGCGCTCATGTCCAATTTAATCACAAGCCATTCAAAAAAGACTATCATCAATCGGTATAGCAATTAGGAATGTTTTAGCTGAATCTTACTACAAGTACTATAAAATTACGAATGAGGCCCAGCAAGTATCATTACAGTAAGAGTCCCAATAGCAGTTAATACTAATTTTTCAGTGACACAGATTCAAACGTATGAATTTTACCGCCAAGGGTTTGGTTACATTGGTTAAACAAGTTGATATGTTGCATATGCTTATGAAATGTGCGAACGGTTAGAGCAACAATTTAAAAAAAATTAATGCAAATTAATAAAAATCCGTCGATTGTATTTGATTTGTAAAATTAAGTAAGGCTACATGCTATGGAATCTGTATCGGGGGTGATATTGTATAACATATACATACAATATTCATATTGTAGTGGCCAACACTGGGCGAGCACTTGACTTTGTAAACGACGTCATCTACGAGAGAATTGATAGAAGAAGAGAGCATTTCGTTGTTCTTGCGACATCAGGAAGATCGAGAGATGACGTTCGTGATGCATCTAGGCAACTTCGCGACAGAGGTGTCAACGTGAGTAGTAGATATTTACTCTCACACTTTTAGTGGAAAGGCTCATTTTACACATTTTATCTTCAACTGAAATTTTATATTACAGGCTTTTTGTAATAAATTGGATGGAAATACTATTTGAGTATCGTTGAGATTTCTTTTTCACTCTCTTGCCTAGCTTGCAATTATCTGATGTTAGATAAAATAATACCGACTCGATTAACTATACCAAAAGACATTATTTTTTATTATAGCAGTGGCTAAACCAGTATAGAACTTTAATCGACACGGTAACGGATATTTTTTATATTCATGATTCAATATACAAGACTACTATTATTAAAGTGAAAAAATATGAACTGAATAACCTAACGATAACGCATCACCATGGAATAAATTATGCGAATTCGAACGAGAGCCTGTTGAACCTGTACGTTCGACAGGTTACTTCATCGATAAAAAACGTTGCGTACATAAAAACCGCCAGAGGGTATTTGTTTAAAGATTCCAATCAAACTAGCTAAACCCGTCATAGCGATTCGTATGCGCTTTGTGCCACATCAAAATGCCGCGCATGACCATACTAGAAGTTTTCGCTGTGTGGTAAATATTACTACCTTCAATCAGACAAAATAACTGATGACTTGCGCAGAATCCGTAAAATTATATATTTTTGCATCCGTTGAATCAATAGCTCATAAAAGAATTATATAGGTATGAATTGGTGATTTTAGCTGAATGCGTGAACAAAATTTTTGTACTGAAACGATCATTTTTTCATGCAATGAATTCAAGTATATTTCATTATACGATGTTTCCAACCTGAACACTGAACAAGGTTGTTTGTGTGTGAGTAACTCAGAAAGAATTACTTTTCATTGTCATTCCAATTTCTTAGCCAGCTGAATTGTTGAAATACCAACACAAAAGGGATAAAGTAAACAATATATCTTCGAACTATAAACTTTGACAGCGTCGCCTAAAAATTATGAATTTGCAGCGCGCAGTCTTTCCTGTTTATGTTTAAGTACACAAAAATTTTTCTATCATAAGATTCTGGCAACCGGTGTGAAACTTGACAAAGTGGCGGAAGAAGAACTTATACAAATGGCTGGAATGGAAAGGAACGTCTTTACTGCTGCAAAATTTCAGGACATGGCATCCATACCGGCTAAAATATTTGAGATTTCTAGAACAACTGGGTGTACCACTGCCAGCAAATCTCAGTCCTGTCCTTGACTCTACCTCACGGGAACGGGTCTGAGACTATCACCATAACAACTATTGCCTTCGGGACGGAAAAAAAACTGAAGTCCGACTGACAACCTTAACATTCGAATACTCTAACATCGTGATGGATTTTCATAAATCAGCAAAAACATTTATTAAATAATTAGATTTCATGCTCACTTAATTCATTTACAATTATAATTTCTCATCAATTTATTTTAAGAAATATTGTTTCTGTACTATTTGATAAGCGTTAATTTGATCGATAGACTTTCCGATGAAGAGTTGACACTAGTGATACTGTCAGTTTTTGAGTAGAATATTTATGCAATTTTTTTGTTTGAATGTTCGCTTTTCTTCGTCTTCTACCTTGTTAGAATAAAACCTCAATAAATTTATGTATAACGTTTAAAACAAATAATAAACGTTGATAATAAATATATGTTTAGTATTAAAAATTTAATATTCAGTTGAAGCCTGAACAAGATAGTGGCAATAAAATTAGTAGAAACAATTTATATTCTCAAACGCATCATCCCACACAATCCACCATATGCGATTATGGGCATAATCGGTAAGATGTCGGTCGCATTTCATATTGGGTTGCACTTCACATGTACCACACCTAAGCCAGACTTGGATATAGAGATGTAATTTGATGCAGGCTATTGGATCAATCTCAATGTGATCCCACAAAATCCCATAAAAATAAGTTAAAGTTGATTAAAATCATTTGAAAAACATCATTAGAAGTAGAATGACTATTACGAGACAATTAGGGAACATATATATATATATATAACACTACAAGATAAGCTTCTTCGATCTAACAAGTTTGTTCTCTATGAAATTCTTGACATTTAGAAAAGCCGATCCAAAGCACCGATAGTTCAATACTAAAACTGACATTATTTTCATTACTCGATGCCATGAGTCATCGACAGAATTATTATACTGCTTCCGTATTTTGTGCATTTTATACGTCCGATTTCATATTTGCTACAAAAATAGCATTATGATAATTTTGAATATTTCGCAACGATTGAAATATGGATAAAATGAGAAAATGTCTTCAAAGCAGTACATCTTGTGATAAAATCACAATTCGAATAAGTTTTAAGCCGCATCCTGCGATTAATTTATACCGCGTCACCACAGGTGTTTCTGGTATGCCCAAAACGCTTCAATAGTCACATACAATAAGAAACACAGATGCAGAATCATCGACGTGGTAACAGGCAGAAATAGCAAAAGCAGAATTGATAAACTTGATCATTTCGTAATTATCTACTATCAGTGAATTCAGCTACATATAGTTTTGCTCTAATTACACCAGTGGGTAGTTGTGTGTTAGAGGCCCTTTTCAAGTCTGCTGTCTAGCATGATATAATTAATAGGCAGATTATTCACAATATAAATATAATTGGAAAAACCAATAGTGAACACGGTCACGAAAGTTTCATTAAAAAGTAAAGTTGAAAAGTTTACTAGTGGGATCGAGTTACTTTCCAGTTGCAAGAAGTGGATCGCATTTGTAGCGAACTGCTATTCAGTCTCTGCATAAGATATTACTCCAACTCTATGATAAATTATATAGTTAGATATTTCATCTCCGTACTCCTCAAACCGACGTTGAATGTTTTCCAGCTGATGTAGCCAAAAGGTCAGACATCATATCGATTATCAAATTGATCTCTGAATGCGATTGTCATGATCAAATATCACTAGTTATATGTTAGAAGACAGCCAGAATAGTTGGCCCGTCTAGACTAGACTTTTTGGCCAGGGACTTGGGAATTTTTCATTTTTTAAGTACATGATAATTTAATTTAAGGTTTAAACTTTTTCTAAATATTTGTAGTGGCTGGCAATTGTTAGAAAATATAACAAAATAGTTAGATAATATGACAAAAACAGTGTGCGAGAACAAATAATAAGATAAAAGTCAACGAACTTCTGTTGCTGTACGAAAAATCAGATGTTGAGATTACTCACTGCGGCTACTAAACAACTAAAATTATTGGTGATTAAATAAAGATATAAAACGTTATAAGGTTACGTAATCACTCTAAAAAACCAGTTTCTAAATTTAGGTTTGACGAAGCGATAAAGAAAGATTGAGGCAACGAGTAATTGATATACATACCGTCGTCAGAAAATATGCAGAAATTGCGCAAGTAACCAAGTTAGCAAATAGGACGAATTGATGATCTGAGTTACTGAAATATTTATTGAAAGCAATCTTATCTAACTGCATTTTCAGACTAAACACCCGATAATAATGGCTACGTAAATCTCGGAACCTAAGATTCATAGTTTTTCAAACCTCATTCCAACGGTTTAGTGTGTTCAGCATCAAATTTTCAAAAACATTAGAGTCGGCATGAATATTTTTCTGTCAGTTTTCGTCAGCTTGCTGGTCGTCTATTTAAATGTCAGCTTGGTTCAAGGTGAGAACTTTTTTCATCCGTATTTTTAGGTAATTCTCTGAGCCACAAGCTTGGGTAACTAATATTTGGCTTTATATTCTTCATTACAACATTGATTTAACACTAGAATCGTCTAGAAATATCTTGATTGAGATAACTTTTGAACATTTCATGCCCATTCATTTGTAGTGTCGGCTTAAATGCGAATTTTTATAAAAAGTATCGTTTCAGTGCAGTAATTGACAGTCCCCGACAAAGCCATCAATGACGGTTGCTGGCCATTGCTAATTCATGCATGTAATCATGATTGTTGTATGACGAACTTTATATATATATGATAAATTAAACCATACCTGGAGTTGACTGGTTGAGCAATAATTTTTTTTACGCAATACCCAGGTATCAAATGCTGGACATGCGATGGAAAAAACAGTTTAAAGGAATGTCATGCACAGTACGGGAAAATGTTGGAATGCTCCCAACCAGACCATGTAAGGCATTTCATTGTATGAAGCAAAGGTATACCAATGAAAAAAATCTAAATCCTGGATAGTATTTGATATCAAATATTTAAATATACGTGGATTAGGTTTTAAATAGTAAAGTTCCAGATATCTAGTCCAAGACACAAGTGTTCAAACCAGTAATAAAAATGTTGCCTATAGTAAAAGAAATAGTCGAACAAATATTTGATTACCACAGCGATTTTATTTTCACAGGTCTGTCAAAACGATTATCGAACTGTGAGAGGTAAACCACTTATTATAAAGGGATGTAAACAAGAACGAGCTTGCATAACAGAAGTCAAACAGGTATCGTGTTTATGTTAATATTCAATACTGTATTGTTAATTTGCTCTTAGAAACAAGAATATCATTACCTCTTTCCAGGAATTAGAGAGTGCATCATAAATATACCTCATATATGAAATTATTATGATTTTAATTCATCACACTAATACTATCTCGATCAAGCATGCTTCCCACGCGGATCCATTATCTTTGCAGCCACGCGCATTTGCTAACACGTAGATTTGCATCCATAGACGACATTGCTACAAACAGGTTGCAAATGTCCATGGATACTAATGTTCATGGATGCATATGTCCGTGAGTGCAAATGTTTATGGGTGTAAATCTCAGTAAGTGCAACTGTTTATGGGTACAAACGGCCATGGCTGCCAATGTACCTATGAGTGTAGATTTCAAGGGCGCCAATGTAGACGGTTGCAAATTCTACAGGGGCAAATACCCATGGACGCAAACATCCATTGGGACAAAGTTCTACGGTTTAAAACTGCGCGGGTGCTAAAATCTGCGTATGCAATGGTATGCGGGTTCAAACGTCCTGGGTACAGTTTATTAGTACTCATATACGGGTGCAAATGTACGTGGGTGCAAACGTGCTATCACTGTCACCCACATCTGAAGTAGGAAGTAAATAATATGAAAAGACATGTAGTTCTGTAGTACCATCTGGATCAAAAAGAGTTTAATCCATCCATATTTGAAAGCATATCTAAGTTTTACGATGTTTCTATCATGCTCACTGCAATCACATATCAAACGATAAATGTTTGGTTTTCGCAGCAACTGGTAAGTTCACCGTATGATAAATACATTAGAAATGTTCGTTTCAAAACACTCACATAGATATATTGGAAATCTAGAACAAAAATGACAATCAATGTGGAAGAGTCAGATTGTTGAAAAATCTTGTTTGCAGATGTTGTTGCTCATTCTCAGGATGTAATTCCAAAGAATCCGGATGTCTACCACGTAAGAATGTATATCGAACATAAATATAGTAGCCATCGGGGCTACTTGATGCAATCAAAATATATTATAAACACGACTACCGATATGATCAAATACAAATTCACTCTTCAGGCTAACTATGTAATTAATGTATGGAAAGAATTTGAGAAAAGAATTTCTTGAAAATTGTTGAACACCACGGTAATATTGATGAATAGTTCGTAGAACAGTGGCCGGCAAACAGTGGGCCGCCGAGCATTTTCTGATGGGCCTCTATTATATTTCAAATATGGTCAATGATATCCAAAAAAGTTCTATGAATCCAGCATTAAATATAATTTTTTTTGCCAAATGGCTATTTATTCATATATCAAAGAATCATACATTACGTTCATTTTAACTATAGTACCAGCATTGCAACTATTCTCGCCTCTTCATTCCAGCGTATCTGGTTATTTTATTGGGTCATCAAAATAGCGCGTGCGAACGACGCGTATCGGATTAATTTCAAATTACATGTCTCTTAACAAGTTTATTACGTGGTTAAATTTATAATTCTCAAATAAATCTTGGCCGAAGCAAGCTAGGCTGTCACCAAAGTAATGGTTGTTGGGCCTTGAAACCTTTTCCATTCTACTATTTGGGCCTCACTTGGAAAGCTTTGCGACCACTGTCGTAGACGAAGGTACAGTGATTAAGAAATCTATCTAGTGTTTTTATACTTCCAGCACCCGCTCCATGTAAACGAATACAATCAATAAGAAATGGTAGAACATATTGTCCACACGGAGAAATTAAATTTGGCACGCAGTGTTCCTTTAGTTGTAACAACGGTTTTGAACTAGTCGGAAAAAAGACAGCAACTTGTAGACCTCTCAGCAAAGGAAGTAAAAAAGGAAAGTGGATACCCGAAGAACTACCATTCTGTAAGAAAATAATAATCAAATGTGAACCTCCAAGAACAGCTCCTGAAAGCGGTTTTCTATCCTGTAAAAACTCCAAAGAATACGCAAAGTTTGATGGTTTCAACTACGCGGGCTCCACCTGTACTTACGCCTGTGAGCAAAATTATTACGTTGCAGGAAAGAGAATAACACAATGCGAGTTTAATCGAGACTGGAACAATCCTCCTCCAACATGTAAAGTGGGAATTTGCGAACCAGAGAAGGAAGATCCGAATCGTATAGAAAAATGCACGAATGGAAATATGTTTGGAAGTTCGTGCACATTTGAATGCAAAGAAGGATTCAACCTCATCGGACATAAGAAATCAGATTGTGCCCAAATTGGTTACAGCGAAAAAGGCTTTTGGACGAAAAGGTTCCCGCGTTGTGCGAAGATAATTTGTTTCCCAGAATACACAAAATTTACTCAAGGCACGGTAAAGTGCAGTGACAATAACTTCAAGGACAGCGTTTGTACATTCACCTGCAATTTCGGATATGATATCACCGAAACAGAAAAACCGTTTAAAGAAATAATATGTCAGGACGACGATACTGCGGACACAAAGGGGCAGTGGTCTGGCAATCCACCAGTATGTGAGCAAATTACTTGCAAACCCGCACTGCATGATCCCCAAAACGGGCAAGTTGCGTGTTCAAACAAGAATAATATTGGAAGCAATTGTACCTTTTCTTGTAATGAAGGTTACGATTTGGATGGCACTGTGGAATCTTCCATTGAATCACTATGCAGAGATGATGGGGACGGGGACGAAGTGGGAGAATGGACAGTTCCTGAAGCAACGTGCAGTCCAATCACTTGTAAACCTGCAGCATCAAACCCCAGTGATGGATATGTGAGGTGCACAAACAGAAATTTCCATAAAAGCACATGCTCTTATGAATGTGAGGATGATTACGACTTGGACGATACCAATGATTTGGTCGCTTTAAGAACCTGTGAGGATAGCGGAAAAGGCGTGGCAGAGGGTGAATGGAGCGGTAAACCTCCCACGTGTTCCACCATAATATGTGAACCTTTGCCAGAGTTTCGTGATGGTTTCCGATTTTGTTCAATGCAGGGGGGCTTGAGTGGCGCCTTTTGCGTGATGTCTTGCAACGACGGATATGAAGCGATAGGAAAGACGTACATCAGTTGCTCGAATTTGAAAAGAGACGGGGATCCAGTAGGTGAATGGAGCGATACACCAGCTGTATGTGAATTAAGTTACTGTGAGCCACCGAAATACGACGCATCGACTGTGGTACAAAATTGCAAGGCACCAAAAGGCTATGCCATCGATGAATACAGAGTAGGAACGGTATGCGAATACAAATGTATTAACGAAGGTTACTACATGGTACCAAACACTGGCGATGAAGTCGTCCTTCAAGGTTTTATAAGAGACAGGTGCAATGTAAATAAAAAATGGTCGAACCGCCCGCCTCGATGTTTTCCTAAAACTTGCTTGCCTCCCATAACTACACTTGAGAATGGTCATACGCCTAAATGCACCAATGGTAACACTTTCAACTCCAGGTGTCGTTTTGAATGCTTGGCAAAATACGGGCTAACGCATGAAAATCCTTTAGTATGCCGAGCTGATGATGACAATGATCAGTATGGTAAATGGAGTGAAGAAATACCCAAATGTGAGAGGAATGAATGTGATGAGTTTGGAATTATTAATAACGGAAAATTGAACTGTTCTAACGGACTAAAAATCGGTTCTACGTGTGATTTGACATGTATTGACAAATACACACAGAAAAGATATGAGCAAATAACTTGTATGCCGAGTGCTGAATGGAGCCAAACAAAATTCGTCTGCTGTGTGCGTTGCCTTTTCAACAAGCGGCTCAATATTTTGACCATGTTTGATTCAACAGCCTTTACAACGCAGAAGGATTGGCAATACATTGTTCAACTGATGGAGAAAACCATTAATAGAATGCTGTACTTCCGTCTGGATGTCGGATTCGGAGCAGCTCGATACGCTGAAGTGGTTGACACTGAAAGCGCGGTTGAAAAAGTAAGAATGAGATACACCGAGCATTTCATCCCTGTGGCAGAACAAATCAAGAACATGCCGATAACTGGGAGAGGTAGCTATTAAACTATCAACTCAATTATAATTCACATTTGACTTAATCTCCCCCCTGCATGTGGAAATGGCTAGTTAATGGTATTTATAATTCGTATGAACGCCGAACGTATTGAAAATGAAAAAGTTTCAAGACGACATGAACAGAAATGTTACAGTAAGATGTCTCGGTGCACTGTCGCCAACTCTCTAAACTAAATCATCATTGTATATTTTGAAACAAGTATTACAAGTTACACTTAGGTTGACAAAACGAATGATTCTAATATATATAATTTTCTCAGGTGTACAGCAAAGCAACAATTCATTCCAATAGTAATAGAACGGTGTAAACTATATATATTCTTGCATGGTCACTCATAACACTTATAGAAATGTTGATATCAGATCAAATTCAGATATCTGTTATCTCAAAAAACGCCATCAAATATGGCTTTGCTTGAATTTTTTTATTTTGAGAAATGTAATAAATAAAATAGCTACAAAATTTCTTTCAGAGGCAAATTTGGGAGCGGCACTGACATACGCCAACGATGTTTACTTTAAAACTACCGATAGAAGACGTGAACAATTTCTTATCTTGTTCACATCAGGATCGGGTATAATGAATGACGCAGTTGTCGAGCAAGCGAAGATTATCAGACAGAGGGGAATAAACGTAAGTAAATTTAGATAGCCTGATGACAGCATGGTTTTACTGATTCCAAGATGTTCATGTATTCAGTTATTTTTCATACAAGTAGTACGTTCTTGGCAAAAATCCACAGCATGACTTGGGATGTCCAGACAACTAAACGTTTTCAGGCCAATAGATATTTCACGTTTTTTCTGAACTTAAATATTTTACCGGTCATGTTTCTGAGTGTCTATTAGATGAACGGAAATTCCTGAACATGGCAACTGCTTAGTTTCTGTGGAGGTATCTACTAATATCTGATACTTTTCCTGAACCTCAAATAAAATATTATGAAAAGTTGATCTTCAGAGTTATGTATCATTGTAAAGACCTTAATTGTTTACTGTTTATAGATATTGGTGGTAGCCTTCAACGCAAATAAGAGTGCCAGCAAGACACTATTGGATATTTCTGGTCTTGAACGAAATATGATATCTGCGTCAAATCTAGAAGACTTGGCACGTTTGTCAGAACAAATCAGTGTAATATCAATGACGACCGGATGCACATCAGCTAGCAAATCACAACCGTGCTCTTAGTTTTTATGCAATAGACAACAAATGATAGTGTTATTTGTACTTTTATTACTATTATTCAATATCCTAGACAAAAGAGCTTCATAGCATTAAAAAACGATCGAACTACCAGAATCACTATTGCTGCGAGTACCTGTTCTTGGCATCACCGAAATCGTATTGGTAAAAAACATGTCACATATTTTTCTCGTTTTATGTTGGTCATATATAATACTAAAACCGTTTCAATAACCAATGCCGCGAGTATGTGTAATAAATTATAAAAGTCAATTTACACGGCGTACCATTTTTGACTATTGCCTGATCTCAATTAATGGCTATGATAATTTCAAAATATAACCAAACAGACGAAATGCTGGTCTACTTCAATGTTGTTGTGACTGAATAGCTTAAATATATTAAATGCAGATGTTCTATAACACGGGAAGAAAATAGAATCTCCGTGGACGTTGATTGCAATAGATATATATCATTGAAATGGCAATATTAAAATACTTATACTGAGTAGCATCATGTATCTAGGGCAGGGGTTCCCAAACCAGGGGTCGCGGCCCCAAATTGGGTCGAAGTGATAAGTAGGTAGGGTCGCAAACAGGTCATGGGGTCGCTGAGATATAGTAGAGGATGGATGTGCAAAACATCTAAGATTTGACAAACCATGTTAAATTTAGCAGTTTGTACCATGGCATACTGTAAAACAGGTCCATTGGCATTGCTCTATGCTTATGCTATACATAGAGAATGTAGGTGCTTATTGTGACATCACTGTTTGGTTTTAGTTTATTTTACTTAATACCACCACATGACCAAACTCAAAAGTCCAGTGAAAGAAGCTTCAGAAGTTTCATTAAAAATTTATATATCGACCTGGGGTCGCACTGGACACTTGAAAGTTGTCTTTGGGGTCGTCCTGGAAAAAGCTTGAGAACCCTTGATTCAGGGCATGTATCATCTAATGGCGTATCTAGGGCATGTCAGTCATGGCTAGTGCCATGGGCGCCGTTTGGACAGGGCGCTAAAAGTCTCAATCGTAAATATTTGAAACTGGATTTTTACTCATTAATACCGTACAAGTATCAAATTTCATTTGCTAAAATTGTGAGTCAACGGCCAGGCGGAGCATTTTTAAACTTTGCCAGGGCGAAATTTACGTAGATACGCCACTGTGAATCCTTCACGTCATATATATACTGCAAACACCTTTTTTATTTACCTTGTTGAAAGAGACGTTAGGATGGAACGTGTGGTGCATCACGGCTACTAAACTGCCTGCCAGTGTAGAAAAGGATGAAATATTGTAATTTACCAGTTTAGCATCCCAGGTGCACGGGCTCAGACGATGGAAGAAGCTCGAACCTTACAAACCTATACCAGAAATAATCAACGCCGCTAGATCTTCTACGGCAGGGATGTGCGTGTTGCCTTTGTCAACACTTGAATTTTTCTCCATCAGGCACAAAATCCCAATTTCAGAGTTTACGGTAAAAAAAGCGCTCACGTGGATAAAAGTACATGGTGTTATGCCCTTTTCGCCGCGTTAAATCTTGCATTATGATAGTTTCCTAATTCGACGTGTACATGGAAAAACTAAATTGTTTGTGTGGCCCAGCTTGATGTCTGAAGTTGGTTGCATATTCAACTGACAAAAATGTCGCACAGCCATGTTCTAGAACTCAGGGCAGGGTGGTCCAAACTGCGGCCCGCCGACACATTCCGTGCGGCCCGCAGAACAGTTTTAGCGTACACTACTAAACCATCGGCAGATATTTGTATTTATTAGCAAAACAATTTTGGTTTATTTTTTAACTATTCCAACTGGGAATAGTCCTTTTCCTAATCCCGATGTAGGGATTGATATTTGTTAAAATCACGAAATTTTATTTTTCATCTATAAAAGTCAAGACGGTGGCTAGATGGGAAAGACGTCCTGTGATCAGTAAAGGCCAAAGGGAGATTGAATTGTCCTGTGCAGACAGGACCAAGCCGATGAGATGAGCTCGCGTCGCGCGATCCAGTTTTTATATATATTTGGGTCCAAGGTCCAACTTAGACGAACTTGGTTGTTTTTTGACGGTAGCGCTAGGCCTGCACAAGCTACAAGTAATAAATTCATCATACAATAATTATAGAAAAAAAGGTGACCGAAGTAAACTGAGAGTAAACGTATTTCCTTGCCCACAACAAGAATATAATTTAAAGTGAAATTACAAAACCAAACACGAGAAAAGATACCGAAAATACCACGATATTTCTCGCGAAGCAATTTTAAAATAATATTTATCTTCCTCAAAAAACGAATTAGAACTGTACACTCTCATTCTTAAATATAATTAGTATATAGTATATATATACTAAACTAGCGATGTTTTGATCACTTTTGGGTTTTCTCCGACTGAGGCCGCGAGTCCTCCTCAAAAGTTCTTGCGGCCCTTCAACCGCAACCTTGGACCACCCTGATCTAGGTTATCTCACATAGGAATATAAAACATAATTTTCTCACCATCGATTACGATCTTTTGCTTTTAATAATCATCCTGAGCTGCAACTGGAGATCAATCTGTCAATAGGCACCCAAGCCAATACTGTACCTTCGGTGGCCTGAAAATGCATATTCTGATCAATTAATGCATATTACTGACAAAATACACTTCACACAATAAAATAAGCATTTCTGTACATGGAAACACAAAAACTCAATATTCTAAAACTTAGCTTACTTTCATCCCTGGAGGCTCGCTATCTTGCTCATCTACTCAACACATTCTTTACTATACAAAATCATAAAAATATAGCATTCTTCAACCCTTGTGTAATATTCTAACAATGCATTCAACCTCTTACATACAACTATAGCATGGAACTATGAAACTACACAACTGCATACAATTTATCGGTAATCTACAACATGATGAAAAAGACGTTAAACATACATCTAAAAAATATGAAATTTGAAAATTGATCAGTATGAGAACGTAAAGTATCCACTATATTTTTATTGATAAATATTGTATTGTGCAAACAAAAAAGGCACATTGACTCAAAAATGCTTCAGCTAAACCAAAATATTATGTACATATGCAGCAGTAAAAATATGACATACGCCAAAGAAAAGCAATCAAATAAAAACCTCCACAGAATTTAACACCAGATTACACAGACAATGAAATGTGAAGTGATGAAAGCTAAGGAACAACAACAGGAACATTAAAATATTCAGAAACAAAAAATGCAAAAATAAAATGCTAAAATACGAGCTATTAATAGGACAAATAGTTGGTATGTTTATAGTCAGTAAGAGTCCTACTGCTAGAAATTTTACTTTAGCACATTACAAAAAAGAACAAATGCTTCTTTATTCATTAAATTGTCACAAGCATATAAATATTATAGCAAGCTTTACATTGCACTGCACGAGCATATTGCACCTAAAATCAGCTACGCTTACCCAATATGCAAATCTTAGTTACAATAAAAATATTTAATTAGGGAAACCTAACTTGTCATAGATGTTAAATTCAATTAACATAATTTTACCTAAAAATCTTAACAATGTTGGATGTATGCTTTATTCTTAGGCTGAAACATCACTTGCATACTTACTTCAAGACACATCAAAAAGGCACAGAAAAAGCAGAATCAATTTGCCTCAGGCGATAACAAGGGCCCATTTTTGAGTTACACAAAGCTAAATATACACACGCACTAACAAAAAAGGGTGTTTAATTTACTTTACCAAATCTAAATGTCAAAATGAACACCACTATATTGGTCTCCGAAACATTACAATAAATTTACAGAATTATCCTTGAATAACCAGCCACATTTGCAACCTCTCAAAATGGTGACATAACAAAAATAATGATAGAGTTCATTTCAAAAATTGTACAATCAAATGCAATTTAATGGGATAGATCAATATATTAGTACAGAAATTATATAAAATATATATTGAAAGCATTTAGGCCCAATATATTTAAATATATATACACGTATATATCAATCCCAGGTGCAGACAACCAGAACTAGAACACAGAGTAAGACATTATCAATCATTTTCTGTGGCTGGTATATGAAGGTAAGTTTCAGCAAGATGTTAACCTCATTTGCTGTCTTTTACCTTTCTTGGGATAAGCAAATCCTATCATATTTCAAATATTAACAGAATTTATTTTATAAATTCTACACTCTACAGTAAATTTCTATTCAAAGATACAAAAATATACAACTACAGAAATCATACATATTGGAACAGATTTAGTATCAACATAGGATGCACTTTGTACAATTTTCCTGTTTTTTCCAAATAAAGAAAATTAGGTACAGCGAGAAAATTCAAGATAGGTTAACGTATACAAAATTCAAGTAGGTAAATATGGTCAGAAAAACTTCCGACCGTAACTGCAACACGCCAGTATTAAATTGGAAAGCCAAATCAAATTCGGAAAAAAAATGTGAAAAAGAATGTTTGGTTCAGCAATTACGATAACTAAAAAGCTTCACAAATAGGTTCAAATATATATGCTTCCAGTCATACATCCAGGACTGGGAGCCATGCCATGTTTCCTAACAGCCTAAGCTGGATCCAAGCTTATCATATCAAATGAAACTGAAGCTGAAGCCACCGGGAATTTTGGTGGCTTCCCCGCTTATATCAAATTTTAAAATTTCCTAATACGATAGAAATACCTCTTTCAGTTTATACTACTTTTCTTTCAAGTTTTAGTACTTTAGTACTTCGAGTCCCACTGCTTTAAAACTGCATTTATGTTTCACGGTAGTCATACCAAAATACATCAATGGCTAGGGAGATGGAGCCAAAGCAACAGTTGAATATAGTGTGGCTCCAGAGCTTGAGCCAACACCAGTGTAACTCCAAACCATCCCTATGGTCCAGATATATCACCAAGAAAGATTGGGAGGTCTTAATTAGATTCCCCACAACTGAGATCATGATATTTACTTCGTGGGATGAAAATGGAATTCTGCCATTTTTCCGATAAATAAAGTCACTCTAATATATTCGCTTTAAATGTAAACAAGATCGATAGATGGTTTAGATGTGACTGGACAACTGATTGGTCATGAAGAAAATGTTATAAAAGTAAGAATAATATTCAAAGAAAGATATCCACATCATTTAGTCTTCTATGATAGCAAAAAAGGAAAAAAAATGAGACATGGTTGAGGTGCTAGGCAAATAAAAAAGAAAACTTTCATCAAAATACATGAATAGAGAACGACAATCATATATTTGATTTCAGCTATCAGTAATAGATTATTTAATTATTATTTAAAACTTGTTTTTCATTAGAAATTTCGAGATTGACAAAATGGACAAAATATCAATTTCAAACTTTCCTAGGAAGCACTGGAATATATTTGAAAATGGTACGATTAAAAAGAATCGGAAAAATGTACTAAACTTACAGTCTTTTCACACTATTCGTAAGAAGCGTATACTTCTTTATAGCATTGTCTGAATTATCAGAATCTAAAGAATTCTCCTGACTATAAGATGGATTACCATTAGATAAAACATCTTTGATACTGGAACCTCGAGGTATCTCTGTTTCCTCTTGAAGTAAAAGCAAAGTTTCATCATTTTCTCTTGTATCCAAATAACTATCACCAGAATTTTTGCCATCTTTGACACTGGTTGATGATAATTTATGGTAACGGACTGCTGAGTTACGAGACCCACCTCTTTTGGTTCCAAACTCCTCACCACTATCGAAACTGTCTGATCGCATAGCGATACTGTAAGACACATTAATGTCTTTGTCTGAGCCTTTCGACCCAAGTGTTAATGTTTTATGAATATCAGAAACTGAACTACCATAAAAACGTTTTGTTTTCCGCATTAAAAAGTTGTCGATAACCCAAAACATTATTGTGTTAACTAAAAATGGTATGACAAGCATCACCAGAATAACTTCAACATGAGGGTCTTTTATCCAGCTAAGCATGTACTTCCTAACTTCCTGCCAAAAGCTTGGCATCACCATCAAGCCAACTAGTACCTGTAAATATATATATAGCAATAAAAATACAATAACCCCTGACTATATTTCATAAATAACACTAAATTACAGTTGCTATCATGCAATGCAATGTTAAAAAATATATAGTAATATTAAAAATAGATTCTGTTCTGATGAAGGGGTGGTTTGGATAAGTATAGGTTTTGATATCAATTTGAAAAGCTTGTTGTATCACAAAAAAGTAGTGGGCCCATGAAACATGCTTGGTTCGGTTTGAAAGCAGCAAATATTGCAGGGAAAAATGAAATGGCAAATGCCTTACAATTCAGCATTTGAATCCCACAGAATAATATAAAAGCTGTTAAGAGCAAGGTTAAACAGATATTTTTGTATAATACTACCAAAATAACCTATAACCTGTATCAATGAATCATTTTGAGCAAATACACTTGGTTCAGTTCAAACCAAACACTTGATGACATTTCTTAGTAAAACAACACCATATTACAATAGTTTCCACTGGCCACAGTGGTAAAAGGGTTATTAAACTCTAACATTGATTTCCCTGCTCAGTATAAAAAGCTACTTATTAAACCAACCCCATTGAATGGGTTTGAAAAGTATAAGTGCCAATGAGAAGTGGTCATAACAACACATTATTCATACATAACCATTCCCAGATTATTATGTATAATCTTTTGTGTTCCGGATGCCGTGATATTCACTTGTTGCCTACCGGTATAATGTTTTATTATAAATATTTAGCTTAAAACAAGGTATGAATTGTTTGCTTATTCATCAACCCTACTTAATGTTGCAATACGTCATCATTGACACCTACTAAGGTCAAAATATCACAAAATAATAAAAATTGGAAGTTGACAAACATGTCATGTTTAAAAGGATTTTATTCCCTATATATTCAAATTTCCTGTCTATTCTGGGTAAAAATAGATAGGCTATTTTGTCTAAATTGTCACTTAAGTGAAGCTTATATTATCTAAATTTACCATAGCTTTTCATTTCCGCAAAGGTATTTGTTATACATTCCAAATTTGTTATTTCAATCGTGATTAATTCAGCAGCGAAATTAACATATTTTCTTGATTATAAAAATGAGACAATGAAATTACCTTTTCAATAACCATCACAATGAGATAAAGAGCACACTGTCCAATCCATGCACTGCATTTTGGTGGATCCCCATATTCTCCAAAGTAAAGAGATGTGCAATTGAAAGAACGAACAATGTACTTGATGAACTGCAAAATATATTTGCAAAAACAATATTACTAATAATGAACCTATTATGCTATTGAAAATTTAAAATATATGGTAAATGATTTGAGTCACAAGATGAAATCGAAACCGGACTGAAATGTAACACCAATTTTGTTTTATTTACCCAATATTATTGTTTAAAAACAGGTTAAGTTTTAAAAAGGACTAATCGGTAAAAATAAAACTTATTTGAAATGTGATACATAAGAAGACAAGACTAATAATAGTTACGAAACTTTGTGAGAAATTATTGTACTTCATTCTTTATTTTCATCAAAAGAGGGAATATTGATTACTACTTTATATGGGAGCGCTAAAATTCTTTTCAAATATGGGAGCGCCAAAATTCCTTTCAAATTTAGCATGAAGTTATACAAACTATTGTTTTATATTAATACTGTCTGAAATCGAAAATTATTTTAGGTACTCGCTCCAACCTTTTGTTATTAGGTATCATGAGTCATGACTGACAATGTAATTGTAATTGACATTATTATTAAAAGATAAATACTCACTTTCAAACCAAGGTAAATAAGCAGCAGCCCAACTGTAGAATCAAGTATGAAGCTGATTAGATACCAAGTGCACGGGTCATCAGCAGATAATGCATCAGCGAGAAAGACATTTGCAAAATGAATAAACAACGTTCCAAGTCCCTGTATATAAACAAGAAAATTTTACAGTGTTCAAAAAGGTAAGTTATGAATGAAAATAATAGGATGTAGATTTAGAGCGTGACAATAAATAATATTTATTTTTTGAATAGTCAAATTTCCCATGCAATATGATATCATCTCTTTGGATAGCTATGTTAGAATTTAGTTATAGCACAACGTTACATGAGTTTGTGTCCTATAGATATGATGAAACGAAAGTTCAAAAAACATTAAATGAATCATAGGACAAGCTTCGTTATATATCTGTATAAGAATAGGCATAGTGAAATATTAGTTGAAAGGAAATTGAGAATATAATATACGATTTCTATGAAAATTATGGAAATAATTTACCACTAGTTCTGACAGAAATTGAAATGAAAAACTGAAATAAGAATCAAGATGTCTTGGAATGGAATTCCATTATTTAGGAAACAGAAAATCAAGAAGTGATTTATTGACTTTTTAATCCAGGAAGACCTAATGAATGGCCGTATTATTAAGGGTCACACTCACCAATTCAACAAAATTTATCCAAGTAAATACTATTAATACTGGTGCTTTGATACTGCTATAAAGATTATACTTTCAATCATTGGGAAACAATGAATAACCACAACATATTATAATCTATCCAATTCATGCAAAGTAAACCAAATCATTAATCAACTATTTACGGGTGTCAAATTTGAAAAAAAAAAATTCCATTGAGTAAAAGTTTCCTTCTTCAAGCTTTAGAAAGTTTCCCTCACGTTATCAACTCGAATTGTTAAAAGTCAGTATACAAGACAACTCTTAATAATGAGTCAGTGGTTGCTAGCAACTCTTCTACCACTACTCTTCTCACTCTATTAAATAAAAAGGGTTCAGGACCCTACTTTAATCAAACTTGAATGAGCATGAAACAACAAAAAACAAAAGTACGAATTGTACGACAAAGTTCTCCAATTCCTAGAATAGCCCCACATTAAAAGACATCAATTGTAACAGTGAGTGCGAATCAATCCCTTCTGTACTAGAAAGTGGGCCCCCATATCGGCAAACCAGGGATGCAAAATAAACTAAAAGGAGGTGCAATCTAAAAAAATAACCAGACCAGTGGATTCCTCAAGAAAATAAATCCTATTTACCAAAATAAAAAAATTTTACCGTAACATTCGAGAGTTTTAGCAAGACACCACAATTTTGATCCCAAGACGGCCGGCCCACACACGTGGCGATTTTAATCTAAATTATAACTGAAACAAGCATGGCGCAATCTGATGCATCTGCCGTTATGCCAGACGCCCTCATTCCAGAGACAAATAGAGAGTTTGATTTGTTGTGAACCAAATGTCAGGCCATCTTGGAGTCGGAAAACTGTGGCTTACCGTAAAAAGTTATTATGACAAACACCAACCTGTTTTGATGTATCAAAAAACCATATTGTCCATGGTCTTCTTTGTTTTCTTGGTTCCCTCAACCTTTTGAGCATTAATGTGCTGAAGGCAATTGCACCAAGAATTCCCTGGAAAATATTAGAAAAATAAAAATACTCTTGTTCAAATGTTAGGAGACTGTTATGAACTTGGCAGAATCCAATTTGTTCAACATGTGTATTCCCTAAATTCTAATTATTACTTATCGATCTTAAGATCGGTAAGTATGTTGATAGGTATTTGTCTGTTTGTTTGTCTGTTAGATATACGCGATATCTCACAAAAGCGACAAATTTTACATGTGCATTCATCATAGTTCAGAACAGAAGCCTATTGATTTTCGATGAATTATGTCGTATAATTAGCGAGTTATTAATTAATTAATGATGGGACACACGGTGTCACTATGGAGTAAGAGCGCTGTTTTGTGGGATCCCCTAACCTCCGATCGATAAGTCTTCGGTCTCCGACCGATAATCAAGTTATAAACTTGATACCTTTTAGCAGTGTTCCCTCTAAGGTGTGCGCGTGTGCGCGCGCACACAGCTTTCAGAGGGTGCGCACACGAATAGATTTACTGCGCACAAACGTATTTCGATGTAATGTAACAATGTGCTCGGTTGGCAGGTTGAGAAAGTTTGTTGTTGACCCACTTATTACCCGGTTAGAACGCCGAAATTTCTTCATTGGTTTTTGCACAAATATCAGTCATTTCCAAAAAAGCGCGCACACACTAAAATTGCTGCGCACACATACTACAAAAAATTAGAGGGAACATTGCCTTTTAGGTTTCATCACCATACTGCCATACGTGAATATTTGCACCTCTTGCTTTAAAAAAATTTAAGCAGTCATTTATATAAAAAATTGAACTACGGTGGGTATACAAAGGCTAGGTACAAATAACAAGTCAAATATCCGAATATACTGTTAAACTTTGAAAGATCACATTTGCCAAGATTACTACAATGAAAATCATATTCAGGTAAGCTATGTCATTGCCATATCAGTGGGCTATGTATCCTTAGTTAACATATTCAGTAGATTTATTTTACTAAACTAACCTGAATAAGAATGCCAAAGTTATCCATCAATTCCCCTCTCACACAATGAGTTGATGGTTCAATGTCATCCACGACAGCACGTTCAACAAAACTGACTGAATCCATGTCGAATTTTTACAGGTGGATTAATTTCATATTAAAATTTATTTACAACAAGCCTCAATACACTATAAAAAATATAAGTCAATTTACACACAGTAATTATGACACACAAATTTGAAACAAGGAATACTGGAATAATAAACATCTTGACCAAGAATGACAATCCTCATTTTGAAGTCCAATAATACCTCAAAATGAAACTTCAAAAATAAAAATTATAGACGACAGCATGATGAAATGAATGAATGATTAAGCAAGCTTTGGTCAGGAATTTAAATGTACTGAAGTTTCCAGACTGAATGCTATATTTCATATGGCAAAAAGCCATTGAGTCTTCTAAACTGGATTAAAAACCCATACTGTTGTACTGCATATAGCAAGACCAGCTGAAACAATATTACAAAAATCAATTCTCCTAGTTCTTGATAATTAAAAACCATCAATAAATAAACAATAAAATACCAGGGATTAACATTCAGACATTACACAAATGTCTAAAATCTGAAAGTTACCAGTACGTACCAAATTCTGGTATTACAGTATTAATCAAATACCAAATATCAGAATATGCGGATGGCAGGATGGACAACCGATTAATTACCAGTTGTGCATCTCCTAGCATGGAATATTTGTACTCTGCTCTGAGAATTCAAAAATGATGTTATATACTAAGAGCATACAGGCATGAAACGAAAAGGTTTCAATCTCCTTTTCCCTTTTTTTTTTTTTTTTGAAGGTCCACGTTGTGGATTCATAACAGTTTTGTTAAAATAAATAAATGATGAAAAAATAATATTCATAGAACATAGTTACATATAATCAACAAATCTTTTTTTTCCTTTTCCAGTTTGTAGTTTACTGCATTTCTTTACAGCTTTATGCATTTATGGAACCACAAAACTGCAAATTTCAGAAATTAAAGGTTACCTTAATCAGTATTCTCATCATTCAGTGATTCTGGTGACAAGACTTTAAAATACAGTACCGGTACCTCAAGATTCTATTCTACCGTCAGACCATAATGATTCTGAGCCAGCAACTAGTGGAAATCGTTGAACTGCCACTGACCAGAATATTTTCACAAATTGAAGGTTGCCAAACCAAAATACAGTGGTAGTGGTAAAACTGGTAACTTACATGTCACTCGCCTAACTGCTGAACTGCCTAACAGACTGAAAGTATTAAATTATTTCACACACACTCACTACTCACACACAAAACGGAGACAAATAAAAAAACACACCAGAATTTAAGATGATCAAGTCTTCGATGACGACACCTCAGCATCAGGTATATATGGGCTTTGCTCAGCATTAGCGACTGAACGATCACGAGATGGAACTATAGAGCCAACGTATGCAGGTATACAAGGGCTTTGAATGTATGTATGACCAATGATGTCATTGGTATGACTTATCGGCATGAACGATCAAACCGTAAATATATACTAATACCAAACCTCGCCTCGGTGATCGTTTCGCAACATTGCTATTCTCGTTTTCGTTTGGGTTGTTGTTGTCGTTGAAAAAATCCCTTTTTACGAAACTAAAGCACTATATGATTACACGGGAACGCTCTCATATAACAATTTGTAGACACTTTCATATGATATTCGGTACAATTCATTTAACATTTGGCTGAAATTGCGCTGGTGATTTGACATTTTCGTCCATACATTTAAGCATCGTTCTTTGTTATAATGGAAGGATGCAAATGTGGCATTTGTTTGTCTTTACGTATCATTTTAAATCTCCTTGATCTAGTGAGGTAATTTGAATTTCCCAAGAACGATAGCCTAGCAGAACGAGAGTTTTTCTATTTATCTCGTGGACAGGAAAGCAATCATATGGTAAACCACGTCCACTCATTTGTGTTGAGGAATATTAACTGGAATCGTTCGCAGGTAATATCACATATGCACGACGATCCCCCGAACCAACGATGGGTAGTTTAGCAACTTCCTTGCACATAATTATTCTAATGACATTCAATCCCTTCCAATCCATCAGTGGTACCTTGGCAAACATGTTCCCGGCGGTAGCACAAAATTGACATTTGACTTATCGGCATGAACGATCAAACCGTCGGAGTCGAGATATAGTATCTACTATGCAACGCATATTTAACATATTTCACTGACCACTCGTACCTACCTGGAAAATTAAAATTGCAAAAAATTGCCAAACGCTAGATCAGGCATCCGTGAGATATGAATAAAGCCAAACATTGATAAAATTATTGGTGGAATATTTTGTGTGTACTAATTAAGGCAGATGCTAAATATTTTTCATTCTTTCAGTAAGTTGGTAAAACCTCATAAGTCTTAAATTAGACTGTTTGTTTGTAGGCTACTGTTATTTAATATATTATCCCTCATATTTTATTTTGAGTTTATTTTCATGTTATAACAATACATTTGCGTGCACTTAAAATAACACAACCATATGCTGAGATAGACGCGTTCCAAATCTAACGCCACACACAATACAATAAATGGGGAAGTGACTAATTACGATGACCTCAAACAAAACTCTTATCACCATCAAACGCCTCAATCCGCAGCCTTATCAGACAGATTTCGGACGCGCTAATTGGGATCTGCAGACACTTGCTCGTGCTGCATATTGTTTTGATTTCGACATAAATATATATAACATAGTATATATATAAAATGATCGAAGCTATTCAAACCTCACAGATTCATTTGAAGCTAAATGCAAACCAAGAGTACGAACATGATAGAGTACCATAATGCAAACGGGCATCAGGAGAGGTTGTTAGGAGTTGAGTATGACACATACGCTCTTACACATAGTCACGCAACATGGCAACAGAAATACCAAAACGCAGAGAACGGATTTTTATATTTAAATCAAGAAAACATAGGATGGAGCTCACCAGAGTCACAGGTTGTAACATCTCCAGAGTTCCAAGCCGAACTTTCAAACAGCGGGGAATCGTTCAGATTCCCCGACCAGCTTCATCAGCTTCCACAGCCGTCGATTTATTCATTAGATTCCAGGCGCCTAAAAAACGACTTAATGACAGATCAGATTCATCATTTCACGGACTACACGGAATCGAACTCGGAAACTTGGAGAGCCGGATTAACTTCACAAATTGAACTATTGAATCCTATTGGACATCAGCCGTCTTCGAATGTTATGTATCACAATCACAGAATTAAAACCAACCGACGAAAACGAGAAAGGAATTCCAACATTAACAAAGCATTCGAAGTTCTTCGATCAAGAATTCCAAATCTCCCGGATGATACAAAATTGTCAAAGATAAAGATTCTTCGACTTGCATCTCGGTACATTGGGCACCTGAACAAATTACTGAGCTCAGAAGGGGACGTTCAATTGGTAAGAAAAATTGTGTTTTAGTGTGATTTTAGATGTGATATGTAAATTTATAGTACCAAAAAGAAGTCATCGTATACTGGAGTATAAAATGGTGGATATAGTTTGAGATCTCGATTTGATTGAATAAAAATCATGCGACATTGATTTTCGAGGAGAATGGGTATTTGGCATCAAATTTCTTTACGAAATAATACATTACATTTCACATGGTTTATAGTTACGTTGGACATTTTAATTTTTGAAATATCTTTGCAATAGTTAAAATCGACATCAAGGTTTGGTATCAAGTTGTTAACATGTCTTTCAGTTTAAAAATACATGATCATTATTTCACAGCCTGCATTTCAAGATGATATTTTTATCCCGCCTTTAACGGGAGATGTAGAAAACGAGTACGTGGATCAGCAACAACACCATATTGAGGAATTTCAAATCGACCCACTTATCGTGCGCGTGAAGAGAAAACGAACAGATTGGGTATTTAAAACTTATATTAGCATACGTATGATTCCAAAACAAACTTCTTATGTATATATATATATATATTTGACACCTTATTGGAATACAACACTGAACTTCATATTCATGCAATCTGCATAATAACATTGCTGACAACAATATTGTTATTTACCAGACAGCAGAGTTTATTTTATATTATCATTGACTTGATCCGAGTACAAATAAATGCCGTTGGCATTCAAACACTTAGGCAGCGATTGGGCAAACTTGATGTAAGCCGAGCTGGCCAGAATATATATAATATAGCGGATAAGTTGACTGACGCTGTGTGCTTTCGATTTTTTACCGCTCTTGTGATATGAATACATCGATATCGAACGACATTGAATATGGTTGCATTATGGCAATGAATTTAAGCATATACTGTACATTGTCTGGACCTAGGGCTAGGCATTTCGAATCGAATAGTAAATTATTCGAATCGGTTCAGAGCAAAATTTCGAATCGCTTCCATCTTGTTTCTGTTCTTTTCGCCAATGGTCGAGGTAAATTACCCCAATTTTTTTTATTGAAGCCATATTTTTCAACGCAATTTTGACATATGACTCTTTGGACCTCCTGAAGTATGCGCACAAAGATGGCGCACAACCTGAACTCGGGTTGTGTACCAGGTTAGGGCTCAGGTTGTGCGACATCTTGGTGCGCATACTTCAGGAGTACCGAATCTTTTCTGTAGTGAGTTATTGATAGAATCGTGTTTTTTATTGTGTGTGAACCCTCAGCAATCTGCCTGAGTGATGTATTCTAGGTTTTCATTAATTTATGTGTCTGGAGGACTCGATACAAAAAAAAAGTTACATACAATTGTATATCTTCTAAGTACAGTATTCGGGATTCGAAAAAATTATTCGATTCTGAAATCATCAGGTACTGTATTCGAAAATGCCCAGCCCTATTCGGACCACATTTCATTACAAATTCCAGCTTGAATATTGACTACACCGACGTTTAACGATCGCAGTTCTGTTTTTGAATGAGTTTTATCGACTCTAGACGCATTTTAGAGCGACTCTTATCACGTTGTCCGCTGTTTAAACTGTTGATAATAACAGCAGCTGGTATTTATGATCTGAACAAAGTTACTTTCAACATTCCAGGGTCGGATTAGAGAGGAAATACAGCGTCACGACGACCAGAACAAAAGCAAAAGAGGAAAATTGTCGGCTTCAGAAAAATCAATCTGCAACGCATCTGCCAATCTAATGACGTATTGATCCAGCGCTGCAGTAAAAGCTTTGGTATATCATTTTTCGAGCGCGCGTTGCTATTCTTCAAGAAGTCTACAGGCCCTTGTTGCTTTGAATGGAAATATGCGGTTCCATATCTTTGCGCAAAATATTTCAAAAATTTGTATTGTATATCCACAATAGATATACTTACAAGACACCTCGACCCAGAGGCAAAGCACGTCTGTAGCGATTGTTTATTTCACCCATAAGTTTACAATATCAATTAGCGTCACTGCCTTATTTGTCCTTGTTCGATATTTTATATTTATCCCATTTCAAAATATGACGCAATTTTTTATTAGTGCTCAAAAATGCAATGAAGGAAATGTATAATTGTTCTCGTTTTCATTCACTAGAAATAAATGAATGTGTGAAAATGGATTCAATTACAAATTCCTATTAAACAAAACAAAAATCCGGGGACTTAACAGAGCAAACTGTTCTTCCAGGCAGACGAGTTGAACCCCTTTTCAACTTATTAAAACCGCTTGAACAAATTTCCAGTGTTCATTGAAATGCCGGCATTTTAGGCAGCAGAATTTGAGCTTGCAGCGTGATGATCGAGTGAATATGAAAAAAAGTATTTTGAAACAAAAATACAACAAAATAGAATAAAACATCTAACCAGTTAAATAAACTAAAGGATATACTGGCACATATTGTACCAAAAAATATCATTTAAACTGGTTTAGAAGAATGTAAAGCAATTGAATTCCAAATTTATGGCACCAAGTAAAATTGACATATCCCGACAAAATTCCATCTATCTATATGCTATATCATATCTTAAGTGTTTGTTCATGAAGCCTAGGTTGTACAAATGCAAGTGTCTTCAATGTATAACAACTCTATAAAAGCAATAATAATAGGCTACAGTAGTATTATTGTTTAGAAATACATCAGAATCAGTATTGAAAAACGAAAAAACAAAATAAACATGTAATAAATATGCTGTTTATAACAAACAAGTTGAGTAAATTCTGAGAGCACATCATCAACCAGGGGTGTTGCCAGGAATTGCCAGAGAGGGAGTCTAAAAAACGTTTCAAGCTACAAAAAATTACTATTTTTTATGTTTTAAATGGGGGAGTAGGGGAATTCCGACCAGCCCCCTGTCATCAACTTACTTTTCATTCTGGCAAGTATGGCCAAATAAATAAGGTACCGTATATAATAGTCATCTTTTAGAACTAAATTATAACATGGCCAAATCAAATCAGTTAAGTCAGGGGCGGCAACCTACGGCCCGCGGGCCGGATCCATGGCAGGGCAGAAAAGTTGATGCTAAGTGCCAAAGAGTTCAATGGCCCCGAAGATGCAATGCAATGAGGATATAAATCAATATTCTATTCGAGATGTATCACTGCTTCATTTTTAATTGTAAAAAGTATCATCCATTCGATTTTCAACTTTCTAAAAATATGTGCGGCCCGCCAATGACTTGCAACCCTTATTTTGGCCCGCGAGCGACAAAAGGTTGCCGACCCCAGAGTTAAGTCATATCAAGATTTAAGTTACCAATAATACTGTTTGTGGCTATATAAATGCGTCATATTATGTCACCGAATAGTTTAAATATGTTACAAAATAAATGACGTTGAAATCAGTTAATAAGTTTGAAGCAGGAATGTCACAAAAAAGTTATGTTGAAATCGTTAAACTTTTAATAAATAAAGGGGAACTGACAGTTTAAACCAGGGGTGGGAAGTGTTTTCGCATGGGCCGGATTCTAAAGATCGTTTTTGCAAAGGGCCGCATAGAGAAAAGTATTTGACTTTTTCAAGTCAAAGTTTCAACCCACAGTTTACCCCCTTTCTGGTTTCACGCAAATACATTATACAGAAGAAACATATATACATAAAACTGGAAGAAACTTCAATACAAAATAGGATTGTTAAACTACCGGTATACAGAATAGCACCATTATATAATTGTTAGATTTCACAACAAAATTCAAACAGAACAATCTTTTTGATTGACTTTTCAACCAAGTTGCAAGTACCACGTGAAACACAGATAAGTTCATAGCCTCATGGAAAACCTTCCCTCCATCATCATATCAACAATTCTCCAATAACTGAATAATTTCCACAACAATCATGGCAAGAGAGTATAAATTGGATAACACAATATTACGCAACAAACTTTCTAAAACACATCTAAATGCTATACCATAAACTGGCAAATTTTGGAAAGCAAACTGTCCAGATGGTCAGAACTTTGACATTCTTCCGTTAGACTTAACATTCCATCTTTTGATTCTATAACTTTATTGCATTTAAATGCATAAATGCAATGTGATAAAATTTCACTTGAGCAAGACTCAACACGAGAGGTTAGTCCATTTCTTGATCTACTCTGAGAGAATTCTAACAAAATTGACAAAAATTCCTTTCTGGAGATTGGATTGTGAAGCAAGTTGAGTTTTTCAGTTACCATAGCAGATCCTTCCACAATAGCAGCCAGAATATTTTGATAACAGAGCAACTGTGAAATAGATAAGGGATTGACTTTGAGCCATTGATCATTGCTACAATTTTCATCTTCATCAAGACCATAAGCCGCATGTGTTATTCTCGCATTTCCTATGGTTTCACTGATCAAGCAGCCAGAAGAGACTAAATTATGTATCGTATCTTTCAAGCAATCTTCCAAGTCAACCACCACGTCGCAAAGGATCAAATCTAGTTGCAAAAAGTCGCACAATTCCAGTGCTTTTTCTAAAAGATTGCTTCGCAAGAATGACAAAGTCATCTTCTCCGGAAGACTATCTTCAAATATATCAGCTCCTCCATTCATTTCCCAAAGCTTTTCAACCATAGAGAATCTGCAACCAGTGACAGCTCCAATTGATAAGCAGATAATAGATTCAAGTGCATATAATGGTGTCATCAAATTGGAATAATAGGTTAATTCAAAAATTTCCGGAACACTAAGAATTGGTTTAATAAACAAGCTCGATTTCTGTTCCTTTTTTGGGGAAGATTCACCATCTGAGATACTATTTTGACTAATAGCAGAATCACATCTGACAAAAATTCCACTGTCAGTATTATCATCACATGACTCATCAGTCTTTTCTAACTCATCATGCAATAAAGGAATCGTCACATCACTTGAACAATTATATCCCACAGGAGATGATGGAAGGGAGTCTGCTTCTTTACAACTCAAAACACAATCCAGAAAAATTACTTTTTCACCCAATAAGTTAATAGCATTTAAAACAACATCTTGCGCTGAGCCAGAAAAAGCAACATTCCTTCCACTGGCAATGATTTCAGCCTTTAAACGAGTGAATGAAACAGTGAGATCTGACATTGACACACCATTACGCCATCTGTTTATTAACAGGAAAGCCACTAAATGAGTAGACATGAATGATCTACTGCTAAGTCCGTTAAATATAATATGTTCAGCTAAGAACGATATATTTTTACGCCATGAGGTGTCTTGACGATATGACTGCTGATGTATAAACGATTCTGTCAAGGACATGACACCAGCACCATTTTGATTTTCCCCGATTGATAACTGGCAAGAATATTCATCGGCTACTAAATTTTTGGAAGAAGAATACATGCATATGTCACGCAAAGCTGACTTGAGGGAAATTGGCTTCGCAAAATCAACTTTGATATTTCCATAATAGCCTGTTAACATTCCAGCAACAGATTTAAAAGTGCTCCACAAGCTTTCAGGTTTTTTTGGCTTACCAATATGTTCATTGTTAAAATTCCCCTCAAATAATTTTTCATAACTTAAACTGACTGGAACCAAAAGCGCATCAGGAACTTCGCCTTCAACCACTGCGTCTACAAGTACAGAGAGCAATCCACTCTTCGGAACATTGGGTAACCCACTTCGTGACCGTGTCCCTTCCAGAAATATTTCCACACTTTGTCCGGTTTTCAATATCTCGGTCATATATGTCTGTAATATAGAGCGATAAAGAATATCCTTTCGATTACTTTCATCGAGTTTCCTACGAATAAAAAATCCTCCAGATCTTTTGATAAAATATCCAACAACTGGTAAGTTCAAATTATCACCACTGGCTATAAAAGGAGTTCTTATATTATTGTGAAAAAGCACCAGGGACACGAGTATATAGTCCAGATGACTAAAATGCAAAGGCATGTATATGATTGGAATATTTCCACAAGATACTTCTTGTATAGTCTGCATTTGAGCTGATGAGAACTGCACGGATCCACATACTTGCTTCAATAAAACCAAATATATCCATCCGCAAAATCTGATCACCCGCGAAGTCACTGTTCCAATCATGTGTTTAGCAATAGACATGGCTTGTATCCTTGTTTCTCTTTGATGACTTTCTGAATAATTTTTTGTAGTTTCAACGACTTTTTTCACTTTTTCATTATTTAATACTTTATTGTGCAAAGATTCCAAAGTGGGGTAATCAGCTTCAGTTTTGTTCTCCATTGCAATGAAACAGTAATAACAGGTTCTTGTCAAAAATCCCTTTTTGTCTTTCTGATCAAACATTGTAAGAAGATCCATAACTGGCCTATCTTCAACATGTTGGCTTTGCATGTTCGACGAAGTATACTTACAGACTTAATTCAGTAATTTCTGTCTTTACAAAATTTAAAACTAACTGACTACGGTACCGGTAACGATGGAGGATCTGAAAAATAAAATATTTCATACATACTGTACGGTACTGACGAAGGTACGCCTGTATCGTATGCCTTACACACGAACAATAGTTTAGAAATTCTTGACTATAGCAAATATTACACAAGCAAAAAACAGGGATACCGGTACTTGGAGATACATTGAGAGTTATTCTGTGCATAATGTACGAAATCTGATGATGAACTACCGGTACCGGTAGCCTACTGGCTGACTGGGTCTCGTGAAGTAAACGCCGCACAACCGTAACTACCTGAGAAATGCCAAACAATAGACTAAGTAAAGCCGCAAAATCACTGGATCCCGAACGTACTGGGACCCTACTAAAAAGGTAGGTATCATAGGTATCACTCCATAAAAAGATAGGTATCAGTAGTAAATGACTAAAAAAAGGTAGGTATCAGTAGTAGATGACTAAAAAGGTAGGTATCAGTAGTAAATAACTAAAAAGGTAGGTATCAGTAGTAAATGACTAAAAAGGTAGGTATCAGTAGTAGATGACTAAAAAGGTAGGTATCAGTAGTAAATAACTAAAAAGGTAGGTATCAGTAGTAAATAACTAAAAAGGTAGGTATCAGTAGTAGATGACTAAAAAGGTAGGTATCAGTAGTAAATAACTAAAAAGGTAGGTATCAGTAGTACCGTACCGGTACCGTAGATGACTAAAAAGGGGGCTCCCGAAGTATGCGAACCAAGATGGCGGACATCGGAATGTAATATGTGTACTAGGTTAGGGTTAGGCCATAATTTTAGGTATAAATACTACGGGAGGCCCTTGGCTAGTCTTCGAACTGATAATAGGACTAAAATAAGGAAAATTGGAAAAAAATTATCGCCTAACCCTAACCTGTTACGGTACGTTCCGATGTCCGCTTAGTCATTTACTACTGATACCTACCGTACCTTTTTAGTCATTTACTACTGATACCTACCTTTTTAGTCATTCACTACTGATACCTACCTTTTTACCGGTAGTCATTTACTACTGATACCTACGGTACCTTTTTAGACACTGATACCTACCTTTTTAGTCATCTACTACTGATACCTACCGGTACCGGTACCGTACCTTTTTAGTCATTTACTACTGATACCTACCTTTTTAGTGAGTGATACCTATGATACCTGTGATACCTACCTTTTTAGTAGGGCCCAACGTACTGTTGTACTGTACATCGCGGTCTCAACTCTAAAGTCCGGGATAACCTGGGGTCAACGGTCTTCTTTTCGCTAACTGCCCATTACGACGAAACAAACCATATGTCTGTATGTGAAGCAGCGTGAATTTGGAAGAGTTCATTCGGGGTCATCGTTGCATCATGTTAGTTCGCAGATTCGGTGAATACCCTCCACTCGGGGATAATTATGTGCAAGAGGTTGCTAGACTCCACGCTGCCGTAAGGTGTTTTACGTAAGCGCTGGTCGGTTACGGCTTCCTCTACCATCAAGTCCATTTATCTGAATACAAATGACTAGCTAACTAATCCCATACCCCACATGGACTGACGAGAGACCGTGCTTCGTCATATCATTATGTCGTCTTATCTTAATTTCTTTTTTATCTGAAAATTTATCAAATTAATTACTCTGTGGCCTAGTTACAGAAACAAAGAACAAGCTGCAAACAGTGCTGGCTCAAACCATGACTGAGTTCGTCTCTTGTGAGAGGATCATTATATATAGATAAAATACAAATTGAAACAATAGGTTCATGAATCTTGAGAGAGAAAAGTCCAATCTATTCATTCACCAATGCCTTCCATTATAAATTTCGACATAAATGTTTCATAACATGCTGCGTCTCCGGGCCGCGGTCGCCTCGCCGATTATTATCAGTATCCCGCGTACATCCGCCAATCAGCCATTCGTATTAAACCGCATTTGTATCGTTGATATCATCCCGGTATTTAATTTTCTTGACTTTTCCGGTAAATTTCTAAGTGAGAAATATCTGATTTATTTGTGTTTTCGTGCTCACGATGTTAATTTGTGACTTCATTGCTTAAAAATAAATACGTTTGATAGCTTCTATGAAATGGATGTAGCTTTTTATGCTGTTCTTGTTGTAAACTGCTTGTGGGTATTACATAAAATTTATTCGCTGATGTGAATCAGCGTTGTTGGTGTCGCTGCTTTCGAGGTCACTCGCGACTCCTGTCACACAATTAAAGTATTTTTTGTTGTTGGTTACATGTATGCTATATTTTTTGTAATCTACCTAATAAATTATGATTGACTGAGGAAGTCCGGATGAGGAAGACTGAGGAAGTGAGGATTTTGGTCAGGCAAAACATTACAGGAATACATTTGTGTTAGTGTGCTGTAGGGCTCTCGAATTGCATAGTTCTTATGTATGTGTTGTAAACTTAGGGTTATTGAATTTCCGAGAACCTCTTATATTCAATTTCGCATCAGGATTGTGGAACAAGCTGTAATGCGTTCAGTATGTTCATTTTCACATGTAGCGTACCGGCAATGTATGAAATAATTATCCAGGTTCAGAATATCTTCTAATATGATCTGACGTCAAGTTTTCTCTCAATAGTCCAAGTCTTTATGCTATTTTATGTTATTTATCAACAACTCGAACAGTAAACGATCCAAAACAACCAAACACTCCCCAAAGGAACGAAAAGCATAAAATAAAAATAACAGATACCAGGCAGTAAAAATGCAAGAAAGACCACATACACAACAAAAACACTGACCAACCCTGAAATCCAAGACAACTCTGAATAAAAAAACCAAATGACTCCTAGAATCTGGTACAATGAACTAGCTACTGCAATTTGCAAAACAGGCCGAAAGTAACTTATGACAGGCATTCAAAAAGACTATGAACAATTCTATAGGTGCACAACATTTGAACAATACTGATGAAAGCTAATTCCACGATAAAACTGAAAATACAACACTACGGTAAATGAACTGTAATGGCACTGTACTGGTAAAAACAATAACATGGTCCCTACGTCAGCCCACTGTCCAGCACAAAACATCCGACAGTCACACAACACAGACAAACATCCCTGAAGACCAGAGGCATTCACACAGACATTCAAAACCCACCAATCCAACCGAAACACTCAGACGACTGCACTCTGTCACACCAATGACATTAAACAACATGATAGGCAACTCTGACGTCACTCCATAAGACTACAGGCAAAACATTGTATTTCATGATACGCTCCAATGCACATATTTCTCGTCGCCTTTCGCGTCCGTTTTCCGCTCGCTCTTGCTACTCGGCGTCTTTTTTACGTGTAGTACCTGCCTTTTTGCGCCTGTAACGAAACAAAATAATCTCTATATCTAAGAAGTTTTGCTTACTTGGAAAGCTGGAATAACAGGCAAGCTGTAAAGAGCAATTCTGGACATCATAGACGTTTTTTTTTTATCAGAGAAGATTACAAACGCGATAGCGGAAAGATTTGTGTGGAACATTTTGCAGATAATGACAAAGTTCAAAGTTAGTAATTTTAATGTTTGCGCTTAATCATTGAAATTTCATTTAAAGAGGGTGTCATACAAAACTGTGCTGCGATACAATTCCATAACACAAAGTTTGCACCTATCGAACTTGCTTTTGTAGGTGAATTTATTAGACATATTACATATTCAGTTAATCGTAGGTAACATTGCTGGTACATAAGGCATCGTAGATAGGTTTGTTTAAATTTAGGAATTTAGCTCATAGCCCACTAATTAATATTATCTTCTATGCAGGAGGTTGCAGGGCTGAATTCAACTTGCAGCCTTACCGATCACCTGACGATGCTCATTTAGTTTGGCTCGAGCAAGTCTTCTTGAAATGCTTGTGTGGATGGAAACTACCTATATTTTTTGCCTTCCTCCGATTTTAGACAAATTTATTCTGAGGGATTTCGCATATAATTCTCACTGATTGTTGGCTGTTTATAATCCCTATTGATTGTGAATTCTGATTATAACAATGAGTTGAAAATTTTTTTACCTAATTTACTGGTACCTTTTTCTTGTCAATACTCCAAGCTGAGGTAATAAACATGACAATACATTTATGTCATCTGGAAGCAAAATATGCACACTAATTAATAGTTTGGCACATTGAGATAATACATCATGACAGAAAATACAAGTTAAAGATATGTATGATCATCACATGGTAATTAAAATTAAAAAAAAATTAATAGGGGCTGTGGAGTATGGAAAGTTCAAGACAAAGAAAAGAACAAATGTTCATAGCTCATGAACTCTCAATTTTGCCTCCATTGCTTTGTGAAGGCCAATATATTTCGAGTGGCTGAATTGGTTTACCTTTATGATAGCAACGATTTTGTATTTAATATAGCGAGATTATTTAAATTTAATTGAAGTGATATAATTTCCCAAAGCAATGCTTGAATCGTCTAGAATAGATCAGTGGTGTCAAACTCATGGGTTTTCGAGAGCCGCATTGCATTTTTGAAAATTGTAAAAAGAGCCGCAAACAGTTTTTGATAATGTATACTTAAAAGATATTTTTAAGATAGTTTTAGTTTGTGACATATATTGTGATGCAACTAAACAGTTGGATTAAGTTTTATTATTTTCTTCAATTTCAAATGCAATTACATATTAATATTTGCATTCCACTATTATTGCAACATTTGCAAGTTACAGTATTTATTATAAAAAATCGTAAAATTCTATGTACAACCATCAAAATCATTTTTGAACAAGCTTTGAATAAGGAAAGAATAATACATACACTAAAAATAACTTAATCTAAATATATGAACCTAAAATTAACAAAAATACTACAGTATAAACTCAATGTTTTAATAATTACATTTGTCCTGGCGTTTGGCATCTTTTTTGTGTCACCAGCATACTAAGGCCAGTCTGAAATGATTTTATAGTACCAACTCTAACTAACGAGGCCACATGATCATGGGTTTATCTGGATCTTTACGAATGTTTAATTAATTCCAGTAATGCAAAAAAGTTACTTTTATCATTTCATGTATAGATCAGTAAAAAAACAAATGACAGATTTTTTCG